GTTCTTTTAGGAATTCTTTTTTAATTCATTTTAATCTCTGAAAAGTTAAAAAGACGTTGAAATACTCGAACTACTGGAGTAAGTACTCGATATTTATTCGGCTTTAGACAGTCTTGGGCACCGTCGGAGCTCAGTAGTACTAGCTAGCTAGCTAGTACTACATGTACAGTAGCCGTAGGCCTAGTACCTGGTACAGTACAGTGCCGCGATGACAGAGGTGTACTGAAGGTGTTATTGTTGACCATTGAACATTGAAGATTGTGATGGGCATATTTATTTCAGCACTTTTGAGAAGCTTCGAGTCATTCTTTCCGCAAGTTCCGAATTTGTTTTTGACCATTGTTCGATAGCTGGGTACTGTACCTCCTGCGGTATTAACAGTGGCAAAAAGAAGAGTCATTCTTGTTCCACAAAAGCGATTGTGCTGCCATTATTATTCACTAGCTAGTAGTACCAGTACTCCTCCAAGCAGATGAATACTAGCTAGCTAGGATTCATTCAAGTAGTACTAGTACTAGTAGTCTACTAATATGTACTGAGCTGAGTAGGATTCGGTACCAAATCCAGTAGTTTCATGATGGCCAAACCCAAAAGCCAAAAGCCAAAAGCTCACGACAGCTCAGCCAACAGGTCAGCCTGCCAACAGACATCGAACCAATCCCACGCTCTCAAACAAAAGCTCACAAAAACGAAATTCCCACTTTCAAACCCTCCTTTCAAGTGTCAAGTGCCTTCAATTGTGTTGGTCTTGATTCTATTCTATTCTTCTATCGATACTTCTATACTTCTTTACTTCTATTCTTCATACTTCACTTTAGCTAGCTAGCTAGCCAAAGAAAGCAGTCCAAGCTATTAGCTAGCTAGAGATTGAACATTCAGATATTAATACCCACCATGATGATCAAGATGACCATGAATCTCAAGATGCTCAATCAGGTTCAGGTGGTTGTGTGCTGGTTGTTTCTACTGATGAGCTTGAATACTAGTAGTACTAGTACTAGTACTAGTAGTCAAGTGAATGCCCACATGGGTGAAGCAGAGCACCACAGCGCCCATGACTTTAACGTGACTACCGATGCCAATGGCTGCACCACTGTGGTCCACCGCCAAGATCCACTGCTCCACAAACCCGTCTACCGCGTCGGAGTCTACGCCAGCGAAGGCGATCAAGCGGCATTCGATTTGTACGGAAAGTTGTTTTCCGAATATCTCACCGAGACGGCGGGAATCCGATTTGACCCTCCCATTCGCTTCGAGTTGGTGCCCGTCTCACTCAGTCAGCTCATGGAACAAGCCCAAGAAGAGGAGGTCGATTTCCTGTTTGGCAGTTCCGCCATCTTTTCCTGCATGGCCACAGAATACCAAGCTCAAGCACTTGTCACGATCATCAATCGCAGAGAGTCCAGAGGTCATTCCTATGACTTGGATCTGTATGGAGGAGTCATGTTTGTCAAAAAGGACAATCATCAAGTCAATACCATTCAAGACTTTATAGGCAGGACCATTGGGGCAGGATCCATTACTGCCATGGGAGGAGGACAGACACAGTTCTACAGTCTATTTGTCAATGGAGTTTCTTACGTGGCTGATCCCAAGCAAGTCATCTTTACCAAGGATGAACGACTCGTTGTACAAGGTCTACTGGATGGAGACTTTGAAATTGGATTTGCAAGGACTGATCAGATTGAACGACACACGGATGAACAGGGAAGACCTCTTCCAGATGGTAAGTTTGTCATGACTGGACATGACATGACTGGACATACATACATACATACATGGCTCACCACATCGTTCTCTTTCTGTTTCACACAGACACCTTCAAGATCATCAATCCACAAACACACGTCCTAGACGATGGAACCATTTTCCCATTCGTATCATCCACAGGACTGCATCCAGAATGGCCCGTTGCCGCACTCCATCACACGGACAAGACGGTCTCCAAGGAAGTTCAGGAAGCACTACTCGCATTGACAGATCATGCCATGTCCATTGATCTACAAGAAAATCTACTTTGTCACACTACGCCGCACATTGCACAACTTGCCCTCGATGCGGCAACCAGTGGATACTTTACAGGATTCCGAACTGCACGATCGTACTTTGGAGTACGGACCAAACAAGAATCGGCAGGATTCATTTCCAAGGATCCAGTCTCGGGGGATCTACACTGCATTCGAGGAGATACCCTCTATCAAGATATTCAGTGTCCTCCAGAGCACTACAAACTACCCAAAGATGAGTTTGATCGCTCTTGTGAAGTGGCTGGTCTCGAGTGCAAACAAGGATACGAGTGCTTTTGTCAACCCTGTATCAAGGCATTTGAAGTCGATGTCTTTCAGTACAATGAAAACAGCGACGGCGAACCGAATACTATGCTACATTTGGCAGGCGGCAGCAACAATGCAACCACAGCGGTCGCTGCTGCTAGTGCTAGTGCTGCTGCTGTTTTAAAACAGAGTGGATGTTCCAAAATGAGTGTGTGCGGAGAAGTACAACAGACCAAGGAAATCACGCTCCGGGCCATTGACAATGTAGAACGAAAAAACGCGCGGGTAGAAGCCATCATTCACATGGAACGGTATGATATAACGCTCGATGTGTACCGAGTCGGACCCTATACCTACGAAATGACGTGGGGTTATCCAGAAGTCGGGGTCGGCATTCTTGAGGTCTTTGTCAATGGCGTACAAATCCCAGAGTACGTCATATATATTGTGTTTGTCAACTATCTTGCTTACTTACGCACACAAGCAAACAAACAAACAAACAAACAAACATGCACTCATCCTCACCGTCGTGTCTCTCGATCTTTCTGTTGCTGTTGCGGTTGCTGTTTTGATCGTCAGGTCGCCTCTACGAATTACAGTCATCGAACGAGATTGCAGCATCGATTTTGGAGGTAAGTAGTGCACGATGATCAGCCCCGCGGTGTCATGACATGACGGGTCATTTCGTCATTTCATCGTCTCATCTTTAAATCAAACACGCTTACTTATTATTCTATTAATTCGTATTGGCAGGACGAAACATGGCTGCGGACGCCAGTGGAAATTGCCAGTGCGCCGACTCGACGATTGAGATTGGAGGGGAATGTATTGATGTTGCCATCTTTGCCGTCTCGGGATCCATCGTGGGATTAGTCATCATTGCCATTGCCACTATCTTGTACATTCGACACAAGAATCGAAAGAGCGATGAAGTCTGGCAAGTTTTCCCTGAAGAGTTACACTTTGATGATCCTGTTGAAGTCATTGGACAAGGTTCCTTTGGTGTGGTGGTCTTGGCGGTAAGTTAGCAAGCAAGCATCAAGCAACAAAAGTGGCGGAATGCATTGTGACGTTTATGTGTGTTTCCACCGGTATCTAACCCCCACATGGCACTGCAATAAACAAAATGAAACTACCCATGGCAGGAATACCGAGGAACCAAGGTGGCTATCAAACGAGTGCTCAGCTCTCAAAAGAAGAAGGAAGGTTCAAGGGCTGGTACGCATAGCGGTGGTCGCAGCGGATCACGTAGCGGTGGTCGCAGCGGATCACGTAGCAGTTTTCGGAGTCCCAGCACTGATGGGAGAACAAGCACAGCCGCGAATCTCGAAAACATGGGGTTCAACAACGAAGGTTCTGTAGTCGTGGCAGCGGAGGCTTCTAATACGACGGGCATTGGTGGTGCCTCCATTGGGACACATAGCTCCCACGGCTCGAACGAAGTCGCTGATCTCGAGGTCGGGACCGTTACATCGGGTCCACTGGAGAACAGCGGCATTTTACTCTCCCACGAAACCGGTGGCATTGGTTCCAATCTTGTCGCGAATGACAATAGCGACTACGTGAGTCGTCGTTTCAGCCTAGCCTTCTTGAACCGTGAACTCAAGGGAAAGAAAAGCAAGTGGGCAAAACTATTCCCCTGGTGCTTTGGCGACGGAAATGGCTATCAATCCAGGACACTCCACGAATCTGTGCTCGGTTCAGCAAGTGCTGCAAGATCCAGTAGAGTGGGTCAAATGTTTTGCCCCTGTATCAACAACACCGCCAGGCTACATGCAGAATTCAAAACGGAAATGAGAGTTTTGGCTAGGTTGAGGCATCCCTGTATCACCACGGTGTACGTTGAGTACTGTGCTGTTTTTCTTGTCTAGTTTTGGATTAGTTCACCAAACACTGACCCTTCGCCGTCATTCCCGTTTCTTCCACAGTATGGGCGCCGTCCTGACGCGACATCATGATCCCGTCATGGTCATGGAGGTGAGTTGTGGAGTCGCCATTTGAATCTTTCCTTGTGATTAGTATTTGACTTGCTCACTGCGTTGAGCGGTTCGACTTTCTGGTGTAGTACATGGAATATGGCTCGCTTCATGATTTACTTCGCAACGATACTATGCTCCTGACTGGAGAAATCATCTTGCAGATAACTCGAGATGTGAGTATCTCCTTGAGCACTTTGAAAGGCAGGGCAGTCCACTTCTCACACCATCTGTATCTTGCATTCCGTAACAGCTTGCCCAAGGATTGCGCTTTTTGCATGCCAATAAACCGCAGCCAATCTTGCATGGCGATCTCAAGGTGAGTACATCCGTCGCATGAGCGTGTCCGTCACTCCGTACAATCCCTCATCCAATATTCCTCCCTTCTCTTGATCTCAAGGCTCGAAACATCCGTGAGTATTCTTCAACCAACTCCAATCTTCAAGAGCTATTTCACCTCACTGTCCAGTTTTCTCCTTTCATCGCCCATTATTTAGTGATTGACAATCGCTTCAGGGCCAAGCTATGCGACTTTGGCTTGTGCACGAAGCGTTCAAGCGAAATTTCCGGCACTCCGTTTTGGGTGAGTACATCCTTCGCGTGAGCTTGTCTTCGTCATTTCGTGCAATCGCTCATCCAATGTTCCTCCCTTCTCTTGCCCTGCAGCTGGCGCCCGAGTACTTGTTGGGTGAGAAGTACAACGCATCATGCGACATCTACAGGTAAGGGGTGCAACGCGAGTAATAAGCTCGTGAAACGGCATGCGTAGTTTTCCTCATCCGCCTGCACTCGATCCCTTTGCTAGTGTTGGAATCATCTTGTATGAAATCTTTTCCAGAAAGAACCCATACGAGGGCGAAAACTTCAAGCAGGTGATTCGGGGAGTTTGCAACCGAAGAGTGAACAAGCGACCCAAGATTCCTCCACAGACCCCTCCTAAGTTTGTCGATCTCATGAAGAAATGCTGGAGCCATGAAATACATTACAGGCCTCCGGCACGGGTTTTGGACACGAGCCTTATGGAGATGAGCCCAGAAGACGCCGAGCCTCTGGAAGAAGGCGCGGGAGAGACTATTTGGAAGCGGGCAGATGCAGCCATGACCCTCTATGACATCTTTCCGAAACATGTCGCTGAAGCTCTCCAGAAAGGACAAAAGGTTGAGCCTGGTACGTTTTTCCCTTTAGTTGACTATGCACACTCAGATACAACCTGTCTAACGTCGCCTTGGATCGTGATCACCTGTGACAGAAAAACATGAGCTCGTCACGGTCATTTTCTCCGATATCATCGACTACACTAAGATTTCTCGATATTTGCCTCCAGAGAAAGGTACGCACCATCGTCGCCTCCAGGTTCATCTCATTCTTGCTTGAAAGCACTCATCAAACTTACGCATTGTGGCTGTTTACTTCAGTCTGTGATATGCTGGACAGGCTGTACGTCGCGTTCGACCACTGCGCTCGAAATCATCAGGTGTTCAAGGTGGAGACCATCGGTAAGAAACGTGCACGCCTTAGTGTTTATTCACCTCATTTCTTGTCAGAGTATACTCAACTTCAGGCATCTTTCAAAACTTGTAGGTGACGCGTGGATGGGTGTCACGAATCTTGAAAACAATCAAGAAGATTGCCACGTGAAGAACATTGCCGAGATGGCTGTTGACATGGTCAACACCGCTTCACAGATCATAATCGACCCTGACGACCCCGACATGGGCTGCGTCCGAATCAGAGTTGGGTTCCACAGTGGATCCGTCGTCTCCAACGTGATTGGTTCTCTGAACAAACGGTACGTACAATCAAATGCTCCCGTAGCCTTGTGCTTGTCTTGTCTTGTCAGGTCTATCTCATTGCATTGTTCACCTCCTCCCATCAGGTACTGTCTGTTTGGTGACACAGTCAACACGGCTTCCCGCATGGAATCGAATTCTGCTGTCAACAGGATTCTTTGTAGTGAACGTTCCTATGTGCTCCTTAAGAAGCAAGCAAAGAAAATGCACACCAAACGCCGCGGAACCATCACAGTCAAGGGCAAGGTACGTTACAGCACGGCTGGTATCTCATGATATTCCCAATGATGATTCCTTCAGGATCTAAACTGTTCTCCTGAACTTCTTTGCTTTGCAGGGTGAAATGGCGGTGTATTGGGTGGGAGACAATCTTCTGAAGCCAAGAAAGGGCATCAAGGAGAAGACCGTGGAATTTGATTTTGATTCGCATGCAAAATCAGAGGGTGCCAGGGATGCAAGCTTCAGATCTTCGTTCAATATTGGCTCTTCGTTCAAGTCTGCGGAAGCGGAAAACAAGCCATTCATGGAAAACAGCGGCTACATTGGTGATATTGACAGGAATACAGTGCCAAGCTCGCAAGAAACTCCCACCATGGATTCGGACGATGAGTTGGAAGAAACTGGAGACCTTGATGGCATCAAAGTAAAGATGGAAGACCCCAATGAAGTCAAGGGTTACGACGATTCTCTGAATGGTTTTGAGGATGCCTTGGTGAACAGCGAATTTGTGGTCGCATGAGCGGGCTCGGCCCTTTAAAACAGGCGAAGGCAGTTAGTTGTACTGTCCATTTTTGGTTCTTCAAGATGGAGCCGGCAGTGTTTTGTTAGTTTTGTAGTTTTGTTATTCATGTAATATATTAATGAAAATGCGTGCTTCATGACTCTCTTAGCTAGAGAACTCAAAGATTGGTATGTAACCTGGTTCGTAGCTTCTCGTAACACATCGGCGCAACCTCGGGATTGCTCAGGCCATACAACTCCGGACAGGGCTTTCTACACGCTGCATTTCTCGTGCCGCGGAACAGGCCATACAACTCTTTCTACACGCTGCATTTCTCGTGCCGCGGAACTGCCTAGTGCTAGCTAGAGATGTCTGGCAAGGAAGCGTTTTCAATACGAGCTGTCATTGCTCCTTCGACCACGGGCGGTTGTAGTGCCCAACGGCAGCTCCAAACTGGGACTCCTCCTGCTTCCGGCATGCCTTGGTGCCGCCCCAGTGTCATGTGTTACGCCCTCTAGCTAGCTTAGAGTTTGGGTTCGATTGGAAGCTGTTCCATACATACACAATGAGGATTAGGAATGAATCTGTTACGATGCCGTTCACACGGCTTCACACCAAGTTATCATTGTAGTAATAATATAGGTGGAGATACACGCAACAAGCACGACCATACTGATGGTGAGAACGAACAGAATTCCCAGGAGGACCTTGTTCTTGAATTGCTTGGTCCCTTCAAACTTTCGGGCCTGAACGTCTGCACTAACGCCGCTCTTCGGAGGGAGCTTGGAGACATCGTGGACCACATCCAGCACGTCAGGCTTGGGGGCTGCTGCGGCCGCCACACTTTTACCCCACGGAGCATGATCGTCGGCATTGCATCCTGGCGCTGTCCCTGATTCCAAATCGTAGCGCAACCCCGCTGCCCGGACAGCATAGGCTCCCGGTGTTGAAAGATCGGCTTGACGAGCTGGTCGCAAAAAGTGGGTTGGGTTTCCAAGAGGCAAATGTTGGACTGTCGGTAGTATCAAACCGTCTACTAGAGCTGTCTGTTCGATTGCGGCATCCTGCCCCTCTGCGGTACGCGGCTGGGATTGAGTATCGGGTTCCAGTTGGATGGAAGCATCCGTTCCAGTTGCGTGGTTCTTTGCGGACATGGTGTTCTGGCTCGATCTCAAAGCTTTCAATAATAGTGGGAATGATGATTATGATTATGAAATCGTGATAAGTGTAACATGGCCGTATTTTCTCTCAGCCATACTACAACGCATACGGTAGGTGAGGGTAACAGCCCGAGTGGGTACACCTTGAGTAGACTACCGGTACATGTACGGGCTACTAGCTAGCTAGCATCTCTGGCAAGTACTCCGGGATCGCAGTCAGTCAGGGAGCATACCGGTAGGAGGAATGTGGCATGAATACGATGCACTTGTTGTTGGGAAAGCCTTTGCTTCCTACCAGCATTCCACTGTAAACCTCCTTTTCAAGGTTGTTGAAGTGCTGCCAAATCGATCTCACGCCCCGTATCCGAGCCTCTCTTAGAATGGAATTGCAAGGATGGGATCCGACCACAAACAGGATGTTTTTGTTGGGCTTGGAAACAATGACGGCAACTTTCCACTTCGTGTTCCACGCCACGTGGATCGAATCAGTAATCTCGCCACATTTCCCAGAAGTTTTGTTGACGGGGGTTTTAGAGTTTTGGTAGCGAGGTTGATGGCATCTTCTCGAAAAGGTGGAGACGAGAGCTGCGACATGAATACAAAGGAGCGAAGTGGAGTCAGAGTCGAGTCGAGTCGAGTCGAGTGAGTCCTAAGATCGGAGCCGTAGGTTCGTGGAATCCAGGCAGTAAAACGTCTAGCTAGCAAGCTAACTACATGCATATTCTTCTTTTTTAGCAATGGAATCGAACATTACTAGTGAAATCAATGCAGCTACATACACAGGAAAAAATAATCATTGTCGAAATGGCAAGCAAAGGATGCCGACTCTCTGATTAATAGCTACACACCAACAGGGGCCTCCTTAATTGTAGTAGTCCAAACTTCTCCCAATGAAGGGTATCCATGCCACCAACATGAGCAAAGCAACCCCCAAGACGAACAACACCAACAAAAGGGCCGCGAAAACGAGAAAGAGAAGACTGGGAGTGGAGTCGCCTCGTTGCTCATGCTTCCAAATTTCACCGGCGAGGAGGATAGAAGGAACCACAAAGGTGTAAAGGAGCAAGTTGAGTCCACTCTTGAAGACTTCCGAATGGACAAGCTCGTCCTTGAACCCTTCGGGATCAGAGTCAATGCTCAACACCACAATCATGGCCCAAATACCAATGCGGACAAAAATGTTGCCAAAGCAAAGTGCCGCCACCCGATATGCCCACAGCTTGTGTTGATCAATTCGCTTGGTGATGGCAGCATGGCGGTATGTTTGAATGCCGCACGTCAGCATGGCCATGCCAAAGACAAGATTGTTCCAATTGGCCGACTGTCCCACAAAGTCCACTTGGGAAGATCCTACGGAGCAAACGTAATAGGATCCACCCAAGGCAGTCAAGAGGCATCCTGCAATACTCAAGCGACCGTTCCATCGATGAAAGGTCATCCACTTCTGACGAATGACTGGAATGAACTGCAGGGGACCGAACAGCATCAGGTAGGCACCTCCCACGAAATGAGCTCCCAGCGCATAGTTCGAATCTGGGCGGTCCTTGTGGTACATGCCGGGGCCCGTGATATCCCATGCATCCAGTTGATGCTTGATCAGACTCTGGAGGTAAAAACTGGCAACATAGAGTCCAAACACTAGACAAGTCAAGCCAAAGCTACCCAAAAATGCGCGCCAGAGAAAACGGCGCACCAAAAGAAGCTTGGATTCTTCTGTCTTTCTCCACAGACAGATCTGTCTTTCCAACTTCCTCATCAGCGGGCGCCACTTCTGGGATTGGTGAATACATAGTTAGTTACTATAGTGGCTAGTTGTTTGATGTTGCCTTTGCTTCGTTGAATACGGTAGATTGTGAGCCGAGTTCCAAGAGTTGAGAAGGAAGCAATGTACCGGTACATGTACCGGAGGGTGGAAAGATATGAATCCCACAATGGTCTCCACGACTGCAGAAGAGATCGCTCCAGTACATGTAGTCGCGGGAACTCCATCCAACTTTCTCGCTCACTTCCTCACTAATTCTTGATTTCCACGCCACGTTCGAAACGTCATCAACAGTGAATTCTCGTGGGTGCACTCCTGGACACAGCAAGCTATCTAGCTAGCACCTACTAGCATATCGTACCGGTGTGAAAAAAGCTTAGCTACAAACTAGACTGCAGTCTTGCCACAATGAACAATGATGCCGAGATGACGAAAGGCGATACCTCTGGCAAGGTTGCTGAAGAAAGGCGACAACAACGAAAGTGACACTGCCCAAGCCGCCTGTCACAACGACGCCGGACTGACTGCGGAAAATTTTCCGAGCAATCGCGACGAGGCCAAGCCAAGGTCGGTCAAGTTTCGCATTGGAGCAGATAAACCCAATCAGCAGGAAATAGCAGCGGGAGATAACGGCAAAACTCAAGACGATGAAGGCAACCTGCCGGTTGCAGCTTCTTTCAACCGCCCAGTCACGTCAAACATCAAAGGCAAGGTCTTGGAAGACAGCTCTTCAGGTGCAGCGGGCACCGAGAATATGCAGCCAATAGGTCTGCGGCGTGCCGAAAACTACCAACCCCAAGCTGCTCCTGGTGCCTACAGAGGTGCTGTGGGTGAAGCCTTGCAACGCAAAGAAGGACTCAGCTTTTCTTTCGTGGGTGCCAACTCAGTTGATGCTCTGGGCACAGCGCCCAGTACCGCTGCCAATGTCGACAATGATCAGTTGGTACGGGCAAATCCAGTCATGGAAGATCCGGCAGACGCTGCCAATTTAACCCACGCCAATCCTGTTATTGGCGGGACGGAAGCTCTTTGGGAGCAAACCAAGGATGTCCCCAGAGATTCCTTCCTTGGAAGAGATCATGGAATAGAGATGGACGTTTGTTGAGCTGCCGTGCTATCTCTTCGCGAGTGCCATCATCGCAATAGGGGCAATCTTTGACTTGTGCTTCTCATTGAACGAGGCATCATTCACTAGGTCACTGACTGCTTTGCAGAGAAGCGATGGAGTGACTTTCTCAACAGTTCAGACCTAGACTGATTGGTTGTTGCTTGTTGCGTCATGCATTGGTTTAGGTTGCGGCTTCTGGGGAGCAAAAAAGCTTCCCCGTTTTCGCTAGTTGAATGTTTCCAGCTTCCCTTTTCGTGTGGCTGAAATCATTGCTCCTCTTGAATGGTCTCCGTTGCTTTTTTGGAAAGCTTGCTTTCCCTTTCGTTTTCTTATTCAAAAGGCAGCGTTCGTGGTGTGCTCTCTTTGCAATTCTTGTGCACTTGGTTTTGGGAGAAACTTCTTCAACTCCCGTGGTCTGCAATCAACACGACCGATCATCGCCTACTACCCCAGGGGCCACCTGACTGTCTATAAATCTAATCGTAGAACATAACTCCTTCAAGGGGAATGTAATTCTTAAATGTTAACAATATACAAATCTTTTGCATAGAATCGTAGAATTGGTGATATCAAAAGATCCATCTGCTCCAACCAAAAGCTCAATGGTGATTTCAGTGAAATTACTGGCCCTGGTAATTGTGCCTTGTTCATCTGTACTGACATACGAGTACAACACATCTTCCGTTTCTGCCATCAGAGATATCCATCCAGGAACCTTCAAACCGTCACCAAAACTGTCAACTACAACCAGTTTATATCTGTTGTTGGGGCTGAGTGGGAAGAGAGAGGAATAAAGATAATACCTAATGCCCAGTGGACCACTTGATTCCAATGTGTCCCAAATCCCAGTCGTCTTGGTTTCCTTCTGCCAAACCCATGATGTTTCCTCTGGATACTCACCAGTTTGGATATTCAGCATGACATCAGCACCTCTGGTTGGAAACCGCCCAGGCCAATCAGGTGGAGCCTCTTTGAGGTCAGCACATGTGGAAACAGGAGGAGTTTCATTCAGGGAACAGTCACAAAATAGAAAAGAACAAAGATGCTCTGGCATAGTTCCTGAGAACTGATTCCCAAATAGCCTCAACCCCATTGACACATTCAGTTGGCTGGGCAGTGCTCCTGTTAGGATATTGTTTTGAAGAGCAAGAGATGTCAAAGATGTCATATCCCCAATTTCTGTTGGGATTGTTCCGGTGAACTGATTGTCATTTATTTCAAGTGTCCAAAACGATCTCAGAAGCCAAAGCTCCATGGGAACAGCGCCCGTTAACTGGTTGCCACTCATCTGCAGCCAATACAAAGCAGTTAATGCTCCAAACTCAGAAGGAATAGTACTAGTCAACCGATTCTCTTCAAGGTTCAGAATCCCCAAACTGCTCAGTTGACCAAGCTCAGAAGGAATTGTCCCCGTTAAGCGATTCTTGTAGAGATACAGTCTGGTCAAACTCTCTGTCAAAAGGCCAAGCTCGGAAGGGACTTGACCGGTGAGCTGATTTTGATTCAACCGTAAGAACCACAGCTCAGTTAAGTTTCCAAGCTCAGAAGGCACTTGACCAGTGTACTGATTATTTTCAACATGTAGCTGGTACAATGAGGTCAGGAGCCCAAGCTCTGTAGGAAGCAGACCGAAAAACTGATTCCCGCCAAGGAACAATTCATTCAATGAGGTCAGGAGCCAAAGTTCGGGAGGAAATGGATCAGTGAGCTGATTATCATGAAGCCGAAGCTCAAACAATGAGGTCAGGAGCCCTAGCTCAGAAGGCAGTCGACCGTACAACTGATTTTCTTGAGGCCGAAGAACACCCAATGAGGTCAGGAGCCCAACCTCCGAAGGCACTGGACCTGTAAACTGATTGTAAAAAAGGTCAAGCAGGGTCAACGAAGGGAATAGTCCAATCTCGGAGGGAATATGGCCTGACAACAGATTGCCGGCCAAAGAAATGAGGGCCAATGACGTCAGCAGTCCAAGCTCAGAGGGAATGTTGCCAGTGACCTGGTTAAACGTCAAATCCAAATGTGTCATTCCAGTCAGCTCATATAGTTCTGTTGGTAACAGAGATGAAAGTGGTCCACCGATTTCAGTTTGGAAGAATTCAACAAATGACAAGGAGGTCAAGAGCGCAATCTCGGGTGGCATAGAGGGGTAAAGACCAAGAAGCTGCAGGTTTCCAAGGTGCAGACGTGTAAATTGTCCTTGGCTGTTGCAGGAAGGTATTGCAAACTGTGAGAATCCCAAGGATTGATAATCGATGTATTGCCCCTGGCTAAAAATTCCAAACCCGTTGGAGAACCAGTCACACTCTTCGACTGTGTCATCCATCCATCGCTCCTTTATGATAGGATTCCAGTTCTCTCCCTCAAAGGCATAGAAGAAAGTAGCGAGAGCAAACAGCTGTTCCTTCCTCCATTCTGGCAGAAAAGTTATATTTTGGTGTTCGGCAACCCATCGCCATGCTCTCCACTGAGGTGTGTCACTGCCATTGTTGATGCTTGCCAATGTGTGATCAGGGAGATTATCCAATAGCACGTCCAGAGCTCCAGTGGGAGCAGAAGATGGCACTTCCGAAGGAGTCATGGAACCAAAGACTGTTGGAGTCTCTGTTGACTCGAGGACAACCACCTTTGACTCCTTGTTCTTTTGGGTTCCCACCACAAATCCCACAATAATGGCAGCAACCAGGAACAACCAAAGAACTGCTGCCAAGAAACTTTTCTGTTGCTGTTTCTTTTGGAGTGCACGATGCTGCGCCGTTTCCAGATCAAGAGGATGGGCATGCATCAAATCAGCGGTATCATCCTCTACAGCATTTGCCTGTACCAACCCTTGATTTGTCGATACCTGTGGTGCAGTGCCAACACGGGAATCTCGCTGGCCATTATCAGTGCCCGTATTAGCCCCAAGAAGGCCATAGTTCAAGTTGGGGTTTCGTTGGATCTGTCCACCTGGTGCATTCACGAACGCACCAGGTTGAGATTGTGGACGCATCTGGGTTGTTCGTTGCAAGGCAGGTGGTGGGAGTGCCACTCCTCCTGCAGGGGCCTCTACCCTATTTCCTGGTACACTGCCATCTTGTTGTACTTCCCTCACTAGCACAGCTTCTTGTTCATTCGACCGAACCTCATCAGTGCTGGCATGAGTTGCTTTGGAAAAATTTTCTATCTTGGCAGCCTCGTTGAGGTCTGCAGCTATTTCCATGAGGTGCTGGTGTTCCTTGTCCTCGGAGTCCTCTCCTACTAGCAAAATTCCTTCTGTTCTTGGTCGTTCCTGTTCCACAGCCAAACTAGTCTCATGAGCCACAATGGCAGCCTCTGCATCCCTTTTAAGCTGGGCGGCTTCCAAAGTGGGTCGCTTTGTAAGAATATCCAAAACAACAGTGTCCATTTCTTCTTCTGATTCGTCCCTCATCAAATTGGCAGCTTCTTCTTGCTTACATAATTGCTCGGCTTGGATTTGAGCGGCTTCGGCTTCGGCTCTCTCAACGACAACTTCACGTACCGCTGGGTCCAGTGCCTCTTCTTGTTCACTTCCAAGAGATGCCTCGTCCTTCTTCTGCTCACTACTAGTAATGACCTCTTCTTTCATGGTGATCTATTACTGTTGGTACCGTACCATATAGCTGTTAGCTCGATCGTCGAAGTAATTCTTTAGAGACGAAAATGGCTGGGTTGATTTTTTGACCGATCGATTTTCAGATTTTCAGCTCTTGCAAATTCAGTACTGGGTTCCGCGGGAACTCGGTCATAATAACTCAACTTCAATGTGGGTTTAGAGAGGCGGATATCTATGTACGGAAGGGTTCGATGGGGTTAAAAAATTGTATGTACATGGTGCATACTAGTAGGTGGATTTTCTACGGAAGGACCAGGCTTAATTAAGCGTATTCATGACTAGCTTGCTAGGTTCCGTGGGATCTCGGTCATCAGTAGGTGGCTTTTTATTAAAATAGGTACGGTACCTGGCATCTGGTACATGATTACGGAAGCCAGCGAGGTCCACAACTCTACCCCTAATAACATTTCGCCATCAAGCACGCATTTATTTGTTGGTGGGGGTTATGATCCACGGGGAAGAATTCGGGTCAAAGCAAGGTCAAAGGGGCGAACAAATTGATCATGCATACTTTGTTTGGGTCCTGTCTTTTAACACCTCTTAGACGAACCTACTAGAGCAACTTGGTTTGGTGTTGAACGCTTGTCTGCTGCGGGGCTGATCTGCTATCTTCCTGGACGACCTTGATGACAAGAGGAGCTTCTAGTACCATGGTAGAGCAACGATACAACGATCACAATGACACGGTTGGGATTGTACGACACAAATTATCGGGAGAATGCTTCCCAGCTGGGAAAACGCACTGACGACATTGGTTTAAGTCTAGATTGATTCACTTGTATACTATCGCAGTGCCACGGAAACCGGCTGGAATGGAAGGCTCAATTCCTTCTTGGTGACGATTGCACTGACGAGCTGATGAGCTTGGGCAGCTGACTGCCATTCAATGGCAGAGTTGTGGGCGGATGCAAAACAAGTTGGCTGGTCGCTGTGCCACGCACCAGAGCTAACATCTAACAGAGCGCCCAGGCTTAATAGTATTGGGCACTACCGTATCGGTCCCAGAGGAGTTGTGCTTCTTGCAGAATGCACTCAATACAGTAGAAATGTACATGTTCGATTCTTGTGATGGAGAACTGGAAGCAAAGGAAAACATGCATCTCTGCGATAGCCTGATACTAGCCTTCAAGGTGAAAATACAACTTCCGGTGCGAGATCCAAAGAGCCATACTAGCTAGCTAGCTAATAGAGTCCTTTTCTTGCCATGGTAGAATCGCGATTTCATCAAGCCTCCCGTACCGTACTCTAAAACCCAGCATTGGCTGCTGCTCCGCTGCTGCGGGATCACTCCAAGGTTGCATTAGAGCAGAGACAATCACACCCACAAAGCTGCATACCTGCGCAATCAAAATTGAGATTGCATGGTGCACCGTAGAATAATGTGCACGAGGAGTTCTGAAAATAGCAAAACTCTTCTGGCATAGTACCAGATATGCCATGGCTTCCACTTACATTAATTTTAACCACCCCAAGTTTGTAATTAGCAACAGCTCCGAAGGTCGTTGGGCGGAACGTGGAAACTCTTTGTGACGTGCCAACGAAAAGAGACACTCGACCAGCTCAACTAGCTGGCTTGAGTCGACAAACACGATTTCCCCACCTTTAAGATTGACCAACGTTTGCTTTCATCGTTGACCTTTTGCGTGCAAACAATGACGATCATTAATTTATATACAGCGTACATAGATCTAGCTAGCTAGCTAGGTGCAGCGAGCTCGTTCCATCATGGTTGTTTCCGTAGGGAATTAATTACAGAGTGGCTGACTCGACTCGACTCGACTCCACTCTGACAGAGAGTGACGAGACTGTATTTGTTTGCTTGGATGACATTATTTGTCTATTCATTCCATTGGTTTGATATAATCTAAATCTTGCATTATGATATTGTTATCATTGTTGCTTCTATTGTTCTAAAATTGGATATGGTACATTGGTAGTGGTACAGTCGGACGTGCGTACTGTACATGTACGAATAGCATAGTGTACATGCATGGTTGTTTCTTCTGTTTTGGAGTACGGTAGCATTGGAAGGTAGGTACATGGGTAAGCTTTTGTTTGCATTTTGTTTTTTTGCTTGTTTGGATTGCACGAGTGCTGCCTGCCTCCGGCTCCGATTGTATGTTGCTTGTCTGGAAAACGGAGAATTGGAGGGTGGAGTTGCATGACACGGAAGTACATGGTAGCAAAATCTTGGAGCCAAGCAAATTGGATGAATTGTTTGCCGATTGGAAGCATTGGAAGGAAGCAGTTAGGCAGACATGGCTTTTGGTTGCTTGATGTTCTGGTGGTCATTTTGGGTAGTTTTGGTACTAGTAGTAGTAGTGCTTGGACACATAAACACCCCGTAGGTCCATAGCACCCACGCCATGGACCAAATGCTAGCTTGTCGTAGCAATGCAGTAGGTTCTTGAGCCGTGAGCACTCTAGCCATTCCCGTGCCCATGAAGAGTCCTTGTCCCACGTGTAGTTGAATGGTACGCTTGGTGATTCTGCTGGTCTTGATATCATCTGGGCCTACAATTGCTGTGCCTGTCATGAGACAGAAAATTTCCCCAACTTCCAGAAGCATGAGTGGCAGCAGTAGAGCTGCCAGTAGAAACAGTAGTGGAGCTCTGCCATCATGAGATTGTTCTGGACAGAAGAAAACCCAATAAGCTCCCAGAGAACCACTCAGTAGACTCGCTAGGAAATCTACTGCTGCTGCTACATGCACTACTGCATGTACTGAAGTGACTTGTACATCTTCATCTGCTTCTTGTTGTGGCTTTGTACTAGTAGTTGCAGTAGCTTCTACTGGCACTGGCACTGGCACTGACATTTTAGCTGTAGAGATACTAGTAGGTAGAGGCCGCTTCTTGCCAGCTACATGTACATGTAGTATAGTACCATCGGTAGTCGGTTGTCCATGGTTGCGCACCAGCAGAGACCGAGGTGCCATGGTGCGCTGATTCAATGCTTTGTGCTGACAGTGGCACATACATTCAGGAACACCAAAAATAAAAACAGTTGCTGGTTTTGAAAATGAACGAACCGTAACAGATCTTAGATCTTAGTCGATCGATGGCGGAGAAATTGGTTGGGCCAATGCCTTTTTGGTTTATCATTATTTATCATTCAAGCGGAAGAACATCCTGGCAGTCTTTTTCTGCGACCACTGGTTTGAACACGCGAGTGTGACACAGCAAAACGGGTAAAAAGCAGTATCAGAGCGTTCCCGAAAATGGTATTGTATATTTGTACCATAGAAAAGTGCTTCTACTAAGTAACTAGAAGTGTCTTGAGTGTCGTTTTCTTATACTGAATCAATTCTGTTGACTGAAAGATTGACAATCGGAAGATGGGTAGTCGCTCCCAAGAATGCCCCAGTTTGGCTGGAGATTCGAAAGTGACAAAGCAACTAACTCAAAGCTCAAAGCATGCGGTATCGACGACAGCTTCACCCACCAGCTACCCACCACTGTACATTGCAGAACACTCCCTTATCTGCCTTTTAAACTTGCTCTTCCTCAACCTTGATTAATCCAACAATGGTCAGGCACAGGCTAACTTGAGAAAGCAACGAGCTTCTAGCCAGTCCCGAACCAGATTCCAAGGACGTTCGGGGCATCTACATTTACATGTGTGCATGGTACCGGTAGGCCTGGCAACTGTCTCGCAGACGCAAGAAGCATCGTCGAAAAATTGTAGAACTGCAACCAGCTATAGCTACACTACCGTACTGCTACAAGAAGGGCAACAGTTCTAGTAGCTACCTGGTAACATCCGCTGCTCCCAATCCTAATACGAGGCAAAAACAAACCACAACGCCTTTTTTGTACCTCTACCGCAAGTTCCGGTGATTACTGTAGCCAGATCTATTCGAGATCGAGATCCTGAAGACTCATCCAACATCCAACTTCCAGCATCTTGAACGACCCATTGAATAATACTCCAGTTGTACTCGATTAGAGAATTTCAATCGCAAGAGGACATTCTTGTTTCTGGATGGGTCATCACAGAGAATCTTGCTTTCAAGTTGCTTTCCGAGCTGCTTTCTGTTTGCTTCTCTCGCGTGAACCCCGTGAACCAACGGCTATTAGATCTACAGCACCACAGGCAGCACCAGCTACAGTACTACTGTACTGTACAAGTAGCATGCTTGTACTTATTGGCTTAGCGAACGCAATCTCCTGTAAAAATCCGAAATCAGAAAACGATTAATTGATGGACAATGGGAAAAGCTGTTCGTGGATTTTGAGGAAGTGAACTGCCGCGTCCTCTAAAGCTTGTTTAGCCGACGACTTCTTTTTGGTCTAGCTAGGTTCTAGTCTCTGTGTGGTTGTTTTTTGCTCGGGTTGCGTTATTACAACATGCTGCTGGTAACCCAATCCCGTGGTGTGTGCTGTCACCGTGGCTGAGGCAGTTCCTACTGGCTTCGCAAGGTCTTGGGGGAGATTCGAGTTAGGTCTTGGTAGACTAGTACACAAATTTTTATATGACATCGTTCTACCTAAGTAAGGCCATCTCAGTAGAACTCCAGACAGTAATTCAAATTTTCGGAGTTATGTGTTAGCAGGATTGGAGGACTCAACGGCACTCGCTTAATTCTGCAGCATTGGTGCGTCGTATCTTTTTGGAGGGAAATCTTCGCGCTCACAATTTCAGTTCCGTGAAAGAGGAACCGTCGAGTCATTAAAAAGCAACACTACACCACTACAACAGTACAACAGCATTACTATGAGGTTCAACACTAGTGCAGGTTTTTCAAAGTTTCTTTTAACTGTGCCGCATTACCCTTTCAATGAGTTGAAGGCTACCCGAAACAGCATCT